CGCTAGAGTTAATTCATCTAGTAGTTCATCCACCACCAAGCTCCACAGCAAAGGGGAGGTTACTCCACCTTGTGGAGTTCCTTGCGTTGTTTTAACAGCTACAGTTTTGGTGCCCATCTGAGCCTCTGCTGTTCGTGTTGACAGCATTTCCCAAAACCAGCGAATAATAGTTCTGTTCACCCCTCTTGTTTCTAGAGATCGCCTGACCACCTTATGTGGTATATTGTCAAACGCCCCCGCAATATCCAAGAAGGCACAAATTGCTGTTTCTTTGCTATCCAGACTTGTCTGTATTAGCTCCGTTAATTGGTACAGAGCAGTTTCTGTGGATCTGCCCGTTCTATATGCATGCTGACTATCATGCAGTGGTTTAACCTTTAGATGATTTTCTCCAATATGGTTGTCAACTACTTTCTCCAGCGTTTTTAGTATGAACGATGTGAGACTAATAGGCCTAAATGACTTGGGATTTGTCCAGTCAGTTTTGCCTATTTTGGGTATGAAGATTACTTTTGCTCTTCTCCATGTGGTTGGTATATATCCCATCGCTAGACTGCTTCTTGTAATGCTTAGTAGATGGTGAGTCTTAGTAGATGGTGAGTGTCGTCTAACGTGGCTTAACTTTCGACGTAGCTGGACCGTTGTCCCGAATTTTTTCATTTGAAAACATTTTAATACAGTACAGTACATTTTACAGCCATAGAGCAGCATTAATAAAATATAATATGGAATCATGTCATAATTACTCTAGTACTTTCAAGTACAAAATGTGAATCATAAATATACATATTATGACGAATATTTGACAATTATTAAGAAATTATCAAAGCATTATTACTGGTTGTTTCCAGAAATAATTAAGTATATTTTTAGTGTAACTACCTTTAGTACAAGTTAATTAATCAGAAATAAATTTCTTTTAATAAATTTCTTTTTAATTATTAGTAATATATTAACATCAGTAAACTGCACTCAATATGAAACACGTATTCCATTTTTTGCTATTCTTTTTCAAAAAAGCCTTACAGCACTTTCAGATGGAGCGGGACGTCCGCCACAGACCGTCCGCGACTTAGAGTAAGTACCATGAGTTTATATGAACGACTTCACATGGGCGCGTATACTCCGTCCGGATGATTTCGTCCGACGGCTATGTTGAAAAAACACGACGGAGATCGTTTATTAATAATTTCTGAACTATAGTCTGTATTTGGATAAAAATTGCGGTCGGGGTGTTTTTGGCATGAGAAATTCGATTTAGATATCAATATGACTCCTACTTGTAGGTGGCGCCACCTACATGTGTTCTAACTGTTTTGAAGAGTAATAACTTTTCGTCCGTACCTGTATGAAACTACTGAAATTTTTTCTCCGAACTACGAACTTTTGGCACAAAAACATTTTAAATTTATTATTTCTGTATAACTATTTAGTCTATTTAGTCTGTCATGTTTAATTTATGTCAATGATGGCATGTATTGATAATTTCGATTCCAAATATATCGAGAATATATCCATTACTCTTAGCATTTTTATCAAGAGACCTTTTTTACGTATAAAACGTACAGTACATTTTATACAGGTACGGAAGAAAAGTTATCACTTCAAACCAGTTAAAACACATGTAGGTGGTGCCCTCTACAAATATGAGTCATATTGATATCAAAATCAAATTTCTTATGTCAAAAAATTTCCAGATACCAATTTTCATCCAAATATCATCATTAGTTCAGAAATTATTTGAAAAAAAGTCGTAATAACAATAAAAATTTAACACCCTGTATCTCCGAAACTAAGCATTTTAGAACATATTATTTTATGAATTTATACGAACTTATTTACTTATTTTTATCTGCAAAATATGCTGCCAAAGTTTCCGGAATACAATTTGGACCACCCTGTATATAAAGCCTCTAATGAACTTATTTTCCAAGTTTGCATTAGTATTAATAGAAATCGAAAATCAAATAAAAAAAGGAAAATAGATGAAAAAATATTATGCTAATGGATGTATTCAAATCGAATCGCCTGGCGTTATTAAATCCGATTGATCAATACCAATAAAATGATTAATGGCGGCCGAACTGAGAATGAGAGAAGAGCAACAGAAATAAATATGTTAAATTTACGGTCGGTGAGGAGGATGAAATGCCCATCGCCTAAAATAATGACGGAAATATATAAAACCAAGGCTAAAATCAATATGGAATCGTGCTCGCAAGACACTGTGCCGGATGAAATTGGCTATTTCTACTGGGGAGTATTATATTTCCTTTATTTTTATATGAAGGGGAATTATCGACTGCGAATTTCGAGGTTATTTTCGAGACACTTGGATAGAAACGGTTTTACATTTTTATTCTTGGATTCCGAATAAATACGATTCCGCATAAACAAAAAGAAGTAGGTATTGCTTAAGTTGCCTTGGAAAATGCATTTTTGTTTTATATTTCATGTGGGAAAGAAAGGAAAGCGCTTTGTATAATTTATTTTATTTGTTTAAACAAAAAATAATACAGGGTTGTTCACCACATACGACACGGAGTATTGTAGCTAAACGATGAGATTTTTACATATTGTAAGTTTTGGGTTCGATGAAGGACTATTAGAGGTACAATTTAAAAATAATTTTACAAGATACAGAGTGTCCCAAATAAGTAAAAAATATCAAAGTTGTATTTTTTTAAATGGAACACCCTGTATATTATTACATTTTTAGTTTCTGCGATTAAAATAAAGGTAAATTTGATTAAGGTTTATTATACTTAAACCTTACCGTTTTTGAAATATTTTCAATTTTGTAAAATTGCAGTAAAAATTTTAAGGCTTCATTTCTCCAAGGGTATCAAAGTTTTTAATACTAAATATTTGCTGAAGTTTATTTACTGATCAGTTATTGTGTTGCAATAATAAAAATAATACTACCTTATACAGAGTGTCTAAAAATTTATTTTAAATAATTATTAGCTTCAAACGGCAATAACTTGTTTAATTTAAATGGAACACCCTGTATATTTTACGAGAATCAGATGCACAATTTAATTGTCTATCAAATTATATTATACCATTTTTTACCTATCTCATTATGTACCAAATTTTTAAAGAGTACAGATACTAATATTGTCGATATAATTCGTTTATTTCATTAAAAAATTAAAAAAACTGTTTAAATATTTGTTAAAGAGGATCAATTAATATGACTCCAGTATTCAAACTACATTAACTGACTGTTTGCGTTGATTAATAATAATTGCTCCAAATACTAAAAAACTGAATTTTGTATGGGCATTAGACAGTGTGATAAAAAGTAACACCTTAAAAATGATATTTCATTTTTTAATAAATGCTTATTTATAACAACAGAGACTTTAATTTGATAACTTATTATTATATTGATTTCTGACTCAAATCCACATTTATTTAAAATGTCAATATTCCATGGATATATTGATAAATGAGGTCTAAATTATAAGAAAATGCATTTTCTACGAAAACTTGAAGTGAGAGGTAAAAAATGGTATAATACAATTTGATAGACAATTTAATTGTGCATCTGATTCTCCTAAAATATACAGGGCATTCCATTTAAATTAAAGAAGTTATTGTCGTTTGAAGCTAATAATTATTTAAAATAAATTTTTATACACTCTGTATAAGGTAGTATTATTTTTATTATTCCAACACAATAACTGATCAATAAATAAACTTCATTAAATATTTAGTATTAAAAACATTGATACCCTTGGAGAAATAAAGCTTTAAAATTTTTACTGCAATTTCACAAAATTGAAAATATTTCAAAAACGGTAAGGTTATTCCTCAGGTATAATAAACCTTAATCAAATTTACCTTTATTTTAATCTTAGAAATTAAAAATGTAATAATATACAGGGTGTTCCATTTAAAAAATGACTCTGTATCTTGTAAAAATATTTTTAAATTGTAGCTCTAATAGTCCTTCAACGAACCCCAAACTTAAATTTGTAAAAATATCATAGTTTAGCTACAATACTCCGTGTCGTATGTGGTGAACAACCCTGTATAAACACCATATACTATTCACAATGTCTAAAAACATAATTAAAATTAATAGAATATCCTAGCAATAGCTTGCGGTGGTCAGTTGTATCCACAGAGAAACCCAAATATATAGCTGTTGAAACAATAAACTTTTGATTTCTAACCACAATTTCTCTTGACGGATAATAATCAAAGGTCAAAATGACATTTCTCGCAAATTTTGAAGTATAATTAGTGGAAAAGTCAAAAGTTTGTTAACTTTTTCTACTAATTGAAAATGACTACCACTAATTTAGACGTTCTGAATGTTTACATTGAAATTAAAGGAACAAACGTCTATGCTAATTAAAACCACTAATTTATTCTACTAATTGCGAGGTACTGAATGAAGCTTTAGTGCGCCTGCTCCTCGCTCCTCCAGGCGCAGAATCGGCCATCTCCCTCGACTACCAACCTGCGCAATATCATACCTTGTTTTCTTTGTATCATGTAATAAGACAATGTACTATTTTTGTTTTTGTAATGTCGCTGCCATTGAAAAATCATATTATTATTATTTGTTGGTAGTTGCTCTAACAGAGGTGGTTATAAGTCCAGTTTTAACTCCAATATACAGGTATTGGCTATTATTGATTTAATTGAACATAGAGAGATCAGCTTCTGTACTAGAGTAACTGCCAACAAAACATTAATTATATGACTTTTCAATGGCAGTGACATTAGCAAAAAAAACACCAATATAAAACCAAAATAAAAGGCGAATAAAGTTAAATAAGACCAAAAGCGAAAGCGTGCTTTTAATGCTAAAATTACTTTTAATTGTTACTATCCTCTTCAAGACAAAAAAAAGCTTCAACAAAAAAATCTATTGAGAAAAATCAAAAAAAAAGATATCAAAAAAAGATGCACTTTGAGGTTAAAGTGATAAAAAAAAATATAATTAAATACAATTTCTAACTATATTTACCTTTTGTTTCTAGATGCTCCCACAGATGACCCTAGATTGCAGGTGGAAAGAGAATCTTCGGATAAGGGAGAGACGATCAAGGCCAATTGTACCGCTCCTCCAGCATATCCTGGTACAAACATTACGTGGTTTCTAAATGGCAGAAAAGTAAGTGAAAGTTATAATTTTATTACAATCATAAACTGCAAAATAAAACTGATTTACCAGAATACACTAAAACACTTTACTTTGAAACTCTAGACGCACGTTTTGCTTATCGCTCGAGAATCAACAAATGATTGGAATTAAAGTTTTAATTTTTGGATAAATTGATTTCATTTAACGATGCCATTCTGCGGAAACTGTGATACTAATATTTGACATTAGTTTTCATTTATAGATGTATAAAATGAGATTATATCAAGATTTTTCGTTTAACATTTCAATTCTTCAATTTATGTACAGGTGGACCATTTTGGTTGTTTCTATAGCGTATCTAGGAAACCGTGAGAAATATTCAAATTTTGATACTGCAGTCTCGGGTTCTTTTTTTGAAAAAATTACAATGGCGCAAACGGATCGTGGCTACCTTGATCGGTTTCGAAGCTACAGGGGAATTCTCAAATTTTGTACTTTTTGAAGATGTTCGATAGTTTGTTTATTTCAGCAACCACGGAAAAATGAATTATACATTCTAAAGGCACTTTTCTGCGTAGAATGCAGTAGCGTAGTCAGATTTTTTTCGAAAAAAATATTTTTTGAGATATTAACTATACTTATGTTTTTTAAATAGAGCCCCCTGTATATTTTTAAATTTTCTTATTCAGCTTGGCATGGGCTTCTCGAAAATATATAACACCCTATATTTATTTTCACTATTAACCTCAACATTTCAAATTTTTCTTAAAATATCCAGTTAGTAGACAGTAGGCCGCGCCGAGTAACAAAGTAAACGGTTGTCATGGTGATCGGAACATATCTTTGATGGATGCGGCACATTTCATTTCAACAGATTGAAGTGTGTGTATTTTAAATAATAAAAAAATGAGTAAATTTGAAAATTTTGAGAAATATAATATGTTAGAATGATATTAAGTCTAACAAACATAAGCAAATGGCAGCTGATTTATATTTTGAGCGGTATCCAGAGCGCGAGCAACCAAACCCAGCCATTTTTAAAAGGTTAGAAGATAGTTTAATCAATTTTATCTTTTCAAAAACCGCGTCCGAAAAATTATCAGAAAGAAGATGAAGAAAATCAATATATTAATTGCCTCGGAGCCGAATACATGAATTAGCAATTAAATAAAATCGAACAATACGAAGCAAATAAAAAATAACTGCGACAGAAACAAAAGAACATATTTTAATATAAACTCAACTATATCTAGGGGTTTAGAAAAACTACAAAGTCGAAATTTTTGTTTTTCAGTTTGAACCACCCTGTAGATCTTTTATTCTATCTCAAAATATATTTGCCAGTGCTCGTATAAACAGATGTAAATTACCCACCAATTTCAATAAACTCAAATAAGGGATGATAAAATTTTATTTGAAAAGGGCAAAGTGATCAAATTAAGTCAGTCGAAAATTCGTTTTCTAATTTTTCTCTTGACGCCGACCGTCTAATTTCTCGACCCAGAAAAAATATATACACATTTCCAGGATATAAAGAGGAGAATGGAAAATATCCAGAAAAGGAAGATAAATAAAAAGTTCACCAGACCTTATCCCTCAAAAAAAAATGTTTTATTTTATTCAAATACGAATATATAAATATAGGTATAAGAAAATCAAAACAAAGAAAATTTCATAATGTCGAACAGTAAACCCAAATTGCCTTTTAATTTTCTTGATATTGTTTCGCTCTTGCTTTCTTATTGACGAGATGTTTCTTTTGTACGTATATTTAGAATTGAGAAAGAAGTTCGAAATAAAAAACAATTTCAACGCGTATATATTTATTTATATATCGTGGGTAGGGGTTTTCTTGATTGCTTTATAATACTTTTTTTCAAAGTTAAGACACGAAATACACAATAAAAATAAATTAAATGTTCTAATTTTTTTTCTTTTTCTGAAGAATGTTGTTTTTTACAAACTTTTATTTGACTTGTCGTGCTTGTGGGTCAAATCTTGCAAGTAGAATTAGAAATGCACTCCCCCGGAAGATCACAACAATGCTATAAGAATTGGAGAAGAACTACTGGAATATGTAGCGGAATTCAATTACCGACAGTGTGATTTCAAAAAAGGCCAATAACGACTCCGAAATTCAGTACAGGATTAGCAGCGCAGCAGGAAGAGCATTCTGGAAATTAAAAAACAGGGTTTTCTACAATCATGACTTGACTACAAAAACGAAACTTGCAGTGTACCGAGCAATAATAGTTCCCACCATGTTATCTGGAAGCGAGACCTGTGCCGTACCGACGCTCCGGCATACAAACGCAATAAACAAGTTGCAACGGAGACATCTTAGACAACTGTTAAAAATTAAATGGTACCACCATGTCTCAAATGCATCAGTCATTGAAAAAGTTAGCTACGAAGGCCCTGAAGTTATGATTACTAAATCCCGGTTAAGATGGGTTGGTCACGTATGCAGGATACAAAAGAAGAAGGAGGTATATTACATAACTGAAGAAAATTTAAATAACATTGTTTTAAACACCTTTGCATAATTACTTCAAAAATAATCTCAGCTCATAACAGGTAACCATGAGGCAGAAAATTATCTCATTCAAGCTCCAAGAAAATATAATTGTCATTTAAGAAAACAACAGTTTACACACAGGACGTGTGCTTAACGAAGAGAGGACTCTATTAACCCTCCTGAAAACTGGAATTTTCCCACTTTTCCACACTACTGCGGCGCAGCGCCTTTCTTAAAACGCCCAACGCCGTCGAGGAAAATCGCAAATTTTCCTTTACAGCCCGGAAAATTCCCTAAACGGTTTAAATGAAATGGTTTCACGTGATTTCCTCGCCAGCAAAATGGCAAAGGTGGAGGGAGAATTTACAGCGGCTATGTTTGTTGCAATTTAGAACCGAAATCGTCCAGTTCTTAGTAACAAGCGGTGTCATTTTTGAAAATAGTGTTGTAAACGTAACCTTTATGCGATAGCTGTAAAAATATTTATTCCTTGTGTACCATTATTGATATTGTAGAACGCGAAATATGTTATAGAAAACTACAGCTTTATGGAAAATCATAAAACAGAAAAATAAATGTGGTAAATAAAATAAAATGACTCTGAATTGGATAACAAGACATGTGGATATCGCAGACTCTAGATCACTAGACAAGAACTACTCAATCTTATAAATGTGATAATATTATTGTAATGACTTTAGAAAAATGTCCATTCTTATATCAAAAATAATACGTAGTTTCATAACTTTTGGGTATCTGATACACATTTCTTTGTAAATCATTAAAATTAATAAATTTACGAGTAAGATGAGTAAATTGTTTATTGTTTAGTAGTTTATTTTTAAAGAATTTCTTAAACAAAAATAAGGCGTTTTCTACAGATTATGGCACTGTAAGAAGAAAAGAAGAAGATAACCTATATAATAAAAAGTCAAGAAAATCTAAATACATTGGTTTTAGAAACCTTTACGTAATTATGTTAAAAATAATCTCAGCTCATAACAGGTAACCACGAGGCAGAAAAATTACCCCGTTCAAGCTCCAAGAAAATATAATTGTCATTTAAGAAAACAACAGTTTACACACAGGACGTGTGCTTAAAAGAGAGAGGACTTCATTAACCCTCCTGAAAACTGCGATTTTCCCACTTTCCCACACTACTGCGACGCAGCGCTTTTTTTTAAAACGCCCAGCGCCGTCGAAGAAAATCGCAAATTTTCCTTTACAGCCCGGAAAAATCCTAAACGGTTTAAATGAAACGGTTTCACGTGATTTCCTCGCCTGCAAAATGGCAAAGGTGGAGAGAGAATTTACAACGGCTGTGTGTGTGCAATTTAGAACCGAAATCGCCCAGCGTTCTTAGTAACGAGCGGTGTAATTTTTGGAAATAGTGTTGTAAACGTAACCTTTATGCGAAAGCTGTAAAAATATTTGTTCCTTGTGTACCGTTATTGATATTGTAAAATGGATATAAGAAATTGAAAAAATAAAATAAATTCTCTAATAGATTCGAAATTAAATAACAGTGTAACAATGAATCCAAAACTACTAAATCTTATAAATGTGGTAGACAAAAATTTTACCTCACCTAACTCTAAACCAAGTTTCATTGTTATATCTATAATAGTACGGAATTACATAACTCGTCTGTATCAGAGACACATTTTGTTTTTGTTAATCATTACAGTTGATAAATATAATTACCATTATTACGAGAAAGATGTTTATTATTCTCTAGTTTCGCTAGAAATTAATTAATTTTTCAGTTGACTGTGAAATTACAAATGCATATTTTATTAAAATCAAAAAAAATTATCAAGAAGACACCTTCCTGGTGGAAAACTACAATAATCACTGACAGCCAAACAGCTATGTCGATGTTGAACTCACCTACTATATCCTACAAAATAGTCAAAAAAAGTTTGTTGCTCTTCCAAATTTCAATATTTAGATATAGCCAAATCCATTTTAATTGTAATATGAAAGTACATTCGGTCAGCAATAGCAATCGAAATGGAAAAAGAAGAATCAATAAAGGAAATGACAAAAAAGACCTCCAAAAACGACGAAAGAGGAAAAAAGAAAGCCGAAAGTATTCGTCGGTGATAATACATGCAAATAACTTTCAATTTGCGAAATAAAACCTGCATCTTCCGAAATCTCGGCTTTAACTTCATTTTTGGCTGGAGCTGCCGCTACTAGAAGGAGAAGCGGCTCCTACGTGATTTCATTATCGCCTCCCGAAAAGAGAGGGAACCACGAGACTCCGGGAATATAAGAAAGGGAATGAGAAAGGGTTGAAATTTGCGCCATATGTCCAACAGCTTGCCCTGTCGCGCATTGTCTCAAATCTAAACGATTATTGAGCAACTTTTTCTCATTTTTTTCTTAAAGCTGTGGGGCTTTGCGGGTGTCTCTCTGTAAAATATTGGCGAACACATTTTTTACAATAGGTTAACATTAAGAACGATAGCAGGATACACGTGATTTTCGTGTCTTCCATTCTATTTCTTTGTCCAAATTGTTTTTTTTCTTCTATTCAGCTTATTTCAATTGCCAATTTCCATTCTACTGAATTCCACTGATTTTTTAGGTATATTTGTTTCTTTATTGTAAATTATATTATTTATATTAGGTATATATTATATTAGTCTAAAACACAAAAATTATTCTTCAGATTTTAAGTAAAAAATTCGAAGAAACCCAAATATAATGGTAAAGGAATTGAATTTCTGAATATTAAAAGGCTTTAAAATGAAATTTTATTAGAATCTGAAACCTAACCATCGATAAGTATTAGCAATCGAACTGAAAAAAACAAGAATCAATAAAGGAAATACCAGAAAACCTAAAAAAGAAAAACGAAAAAAGAAGAAATAAAGAAGAAAACCCGTATTCGTTCTTGATAAAACATGCAAATATCTTTCAATTTACGAAATGGCGCGTCTGCATGTTCCGAAATCTCGACTTTAATTTCATTTTTGGCCTACCAGAAGGAGAAGCGGCTCCTACGTGACTTCATTATCGCCTCCTTGAAAGAGAGGGAGCCACAAGACTCCGAGATTATAAGGGGAAGAAATGAGAAAGGGAAGGAATTTGCGCCATATGTCGAACAGCTTGCCCCGTCGCGCATTGTCTCAAATCTAAACGATTATAGAGCAAGTTTTTCTCATTTTTTTTCTTGAATCTGTGGGGCTTTGCGGGTGTCCCTCTGTAAAATATTAGCGAACACGTTTTTACAATAGGTTAATATCAAGAACGATAGCTGAATACACGTGATTTTCGTGTCTTCCATTGTATTTCTTTGGCCAATTTGTTTTTTTTTTCTGTTCAGCTTATTTCAATTGCCAATTTCCATTCTACTGAATTCCATTGGTTTTATAGATATATTTGTTTTCTTTATTATAAATTATATTATTTATATTAGGTCAAAACATTTATATTAGGCTAAAACACTTCTCTTAATATTAAAAGGGGGGTTTTAAGTAAGATTGACAGTTCTAGAATGACATTCATTGTTTGTGTGTTGGTGTATAAGGAAAATTACAAATACTCAAGTTCACAAATTTCCATTTTACAATATCCGAATTCAATTAAATGAAATTATATTAAAATCTCAAAGTACCATCGATAAGCATTGGTAATCGAACTGAAGAAAACGAGAATAAATAATGAAAATACCAGAAAACCTTAAAAAAGAAGGAAAAAAACTATAGACGAAATTCCCCGTATTCGTTCTTGATAAAACATGCAAATATCTTTCAATTTGCGCAATGGCGCGTCTGCATGTTCCGAAATCTCGGCTTTAATTTCATTTTTGGCTGGAGCTGCCGCTACCAGAAGGAGAAGCGGCTCCTACGTGACTTCATTATCGCCTCCCGGAAAGAGAAGGAGCCACAAAACTCCGAGATTATAAGGGGAAGGAGCGAGAAAGGGAAGAAGTTTGCGCCATATGTTGAACAGCTTGCCCCGTCGCGCATTGTCTCAAATCTAAACGATTATTGAGCAACTTTTTCTCATTTTTTTTTCTTAAAGCTGTGGGGCTTTGCGGGTGTCTGTAAAATATTGGCAAACACGTTTTTACAATAGGTTAACATTAAGAACGATAGCTGGATACTTTCCAGCTTTTTAGAATTCAATTAAATGAAATTATATTAAAATCTCAAAGTACCATCGATAAGCATTGGCAATCGAACTAAAAAAACTAGAATCGATAAAGAAAATACCAGAAAACTTTAAAAAAGAACGAAAAAAGAAAAAATAAGGAAGATATTCCTCGTACTCTTTCTTGATAAAACATGCAAATATCTTTCAATTTGCGAAATGGCGCGCCTGCATGTTCCGAAATCTCGGCTTTAATTTCACTTTTGGCTGGAGCTGCCGCTACCAGAAGGAGAAGCGGCTCCTACGTGACTTCATTATCGCCTCCCGGAAAGAGAGGGAGCCATAAGACTCCGAGATTATAAGGGGAAGGAACAAGAAAGGGAAGAAATTTGCGCCATATGTCGAACAGCTTGCCCTGTCGCGCGTTGCCTCTAACCTAATGGCTTATTGAACCTTTTTTTTAGTTTTTCTCATTTTTTTTCTTAAGTGCGTGGGACTGTGCGGGTTTTTTTACAATACGGGAACACGTTTTTACAATAAGTTAAGATTAAGAATGATAGCTGGATATACTACGTGATCTTGGTGTCTTCCACTCTATTTCTTTTGCCAAATTGTTTTTTTTTCTGCTCAGCTTATTTCAATTACCAGTTTCCATTCTACTAAATTCTATTGGTTTTATAGATGTTATTTTAAATTATATTATTTATTTATATTAGGCTAAAACACAAAATTATTCTTCAGATTTTAAGTCAAAAATTCGAAGAAACACAAATGTAATAGTAAAAAAATAATTTTCTGATTGTTAAAAGGTGGTTTTAAGTAGGATTGACAGTTCTAGAATGAATTCATTCTTGGTGTGTTAAGGTAAGTGTAAGTAAGAAAAATTACAGATATTCAACCTCACAAATTTCCATTTTACAATATCCGAATTCAATTAAATGAAATTTTATTAAAATTTCAAAGTACCATCTATAAGCATTAGCAATCGAACTGAAAAAAAAAACAGAATCAATAAAGAAAATACCAGAAAACCTTAAAAAAGAACGAAAAAAGAAGAAAACCTGTATTCGTTCTTTATAAAACATGCAAATATCTTTCATTTTGCGAAATGACGCGCCTGCATGTTCCGAATCTCGGCTTTAATTTTATTTTTGGCTGGAGACGCCGCTACCAGAAGGAGAAGCGGCTCCTACGTGACTTCATTATCGCTTCCCGGAAAGAGAGGGAGCAACAAGACTCCGAGATTATAAGGAGAAGGGATGAAATTTGCGCCATATGTCGAACAGCTTGCCCTGTCGCGCGTTGCCTCGAATCTAAGAGCCTTTTTTTTAAGTTTTTCTTAAAGGTGTGGGTCTATGCCAGTGTCTCCCTGTAAAATATCAGCGAACACATTTTTACAATAGGTTAACATTAAGGACAACAGCTGAATATACGTAATTTTCGTTTCTTATCAATTTCCGCTCCATTGGATTCCATTGATTTTATGGATATGTAGTGTTTTTTATTACAAATTATATTATTAATATTAGATAGTTCTAAAGCACAAAATTATTCTATTGAGATTTTTATTTATTTTTATATATATGATAATTTATTGGCCCTGTGAAATCGGATATCTCATGAGTAAGAGTTGAAAAACACTCGCCAAATCGGTAGGCCATTGACAATGGTATGACAAAGGGAGACGTCACACCAATGACTAAAGAATACAAGGACGAATAACACCTGCAACCAAATTGTTACCATACCACCAAACAGTGCCGTGGCATATATTTTTCAACATAGAATCCGCTTGAAGAGATAATTATATTTTGATAAATGTTTTGACTACGCCTGTTTTGTATGCGGTGGTATCATACTAATTAATTACGAAAAACATATTAAAATGTTAACAAAAGGTACAAACTATATCAACTACATATAATATCCGAAAAATAATTATCCAATTCAATAAAAAAACGCTAAAAAGGTGGAGTGGACTGTTTATTTACCTACGAAACGTAACTCCTGGCTCTTTCTTATCGCTACAGCTTTACAGTTGAAAGCTGAACAACTAATCACTATTGAAATAAAGTTTATACAAAATTCACTAAACACAAACTATTAAAAATCGCTAAAATTGTCGCTGATTACCAGCTGATGACTCATTCGTTACAGCCAAAAAAATGGAGTCTAACATCACAAATTCTGCTGCAGCCTGTATATGGGCGTTACATGTCCTTGTATTTTTTAGTCAATGTGTTAAACTCAACCTTTACTTTTCTTATTTTCCATCATTTTTTTTCAATTTCGTCAGAATTTTCATGTTTACTGAATTATAATATTTATTCATCATACTTTTTTTTTTCACTTTAATAAATCGAAAGCGATTTGCACACGTTTTATCGAGCATAACGACAAAATTATTCCCTTTTTTCTTCGTCCCGTCCCTTTTTTCGTTCCGTCTTTTTCTTCATTTTCCGATATTTATCTGATGGCTTTTCTGGTTTCTAATAAAATGTTTGCTCACGCAATTTCCCAAATATTTCTAAAGTGGAACTCGATCAGTGCGTTCGATTCTTTGGTGGGGAAACGCCAGAAAAGGGGAAAAATATTGTTTTGTGGAAAAATATGAATTTCGTTATTCGACATCGTAAAACGAATCGACGGATTTAATGGTAATTCATATACTAAACATTCCACTCATTTTTCTTTATATCCCGCAATTTGTTTTTATCATTATTTGCTGAATTAATGTCATTGGACTCTAAATTTAATTTTCTAAACACAGAGCTTTGATTCTGCTATTATCTTGGATTAAAAAGTAAAGTATTTTATGTTACCTTCTCCTTCTTGCTGCTAATGCTGTTCTGGAGAAATTGGTTTACGCGGAATCCAAACCGCGGTTCTCGGCCATATCATTGTCAATGGCCTATCTACTTGGCGAATGCCTAAATTGACACTTACGAGACATCCATTATATTATTTTACTTTACGCTTTGACTAACATATTGATTTCTGTTCCAGATTTCCGAATCATATACGAAGTCGACCCCATTAGAGGCTCACAAAACTGTCAGTCAAAGGAAATTATACATAACCAGTTCAGGAATAGAGTTGCAAATTAACGAAGACACATTTCAGGTAGTAAAAAACCTTTTTTATTATTTGTATAATATTAGAAATATATAAGTACGAAAATCCAAATATACAAAAAATATTATTACTTAGTATAATAGTAAGTATCCAAGTTACTCATTACTTTAGACAACTATGCTTTATAACTGCATTTTCTAACGAGTTGTTTCACTGAATGATTGTTTTCACTAAAGGACTGAAACCAGTCATTTACTGAAACTGATATACAAACGCTTAGAAAAAAAATTACACAATTCTTCCGTATGATCGAAAAAAAATGGCGTCCAGTTGGCTTAGAAATGACCATCAATGACATTCCCCATATAATTTTACATATAAAATGACAGCGATCTTTATTTCATATGTATAAATGACTCGAATATTTGTCTTAATTCTTAAGATTTATATTATTTTCATCGATTTTATGCAAAACACACTATTGTTTATAATACCTATGCAAATATCTTAAAAATACACTTAATATACAAAACATGCAATATAATCACTTTGATTATTTAGGTTTTTAAAAGAATCCAAATTACACATTAATTTAGGCAAATATAGTATAACTACTTTTCTTCTAACAAGTTGTTTCACTGAATGGCTATTTTTACTAAATGACTAAAGCCAGTCATTTACTGAAAAGGATATACAAACACCGAGGAAAAAGTTGCACATTATTATAAATGATTTTAAACTGTAATAACTCCTAAATAAAAATATTTAAACATAATATCTAAGTTACGCTACTAAATAACTAAATTATCAAAATCGTAATAAATATTTATTACAAAACAGCGTATATTTTACTCCGGAAGCTTAACAAACAAGATAGTAATGAAATAAGACCTTTTCGAGCATTACCTGCTCTAGTCTTCGGGTTGAGCTTGTTTAAAAAATAGAGAACGGCCGAAGTAAATGAAACGAATCAGCAAAATTTCCTGCGATTCCCGTTTTCCGGCGCTTCCCGTCAATTAAGATTTAATTCCCAGATTTCGGAAAGTTACATTAGGAAGCGAAGAGTGTCGTTCGTCGAGGGCCTCAGAGAGAATCGCGTCAAATTGTTTCGTTTAAATAGTTTAAGGAGTTACGTCCGGTCGTCCGTCGTGAAAGCTAACAATTTCCTTCAACATCGGTGTGATTTTCTAGCAGATGCAACGAGTTATTTTACTTGGGCAAATTTTAGACAATATAAGGAGTTTGTTGCTAAATATAGAGCCGCTGTAAATTGGGGATTTTTTCTGGTTGTTGTATAAAAAAGAAAATCTCTGAAATTAACTTTAAACAACTTAGTGTCAAAATAAAGGCCGGCATCATGTGTTTTTTATTGGCAGATTTGTTTATTATCGACATATTTAACTATCTGACATTAAAAATTGTACTTTCAAGTTAGTAGTGAAAGTTGAATACAAATATATACGTGCTAAATAATATCTCTTTGTAACTACATTTTTCTAACGAGTTCTTCATGATAAAAAATTGTTTTCCCAGATATTGGTACTTTATTTAATGCCAGTGAAAAAACGATGCGATAGAAAACCCGAATGGGTCATTTTTTCACCTGGATGTTGTACGCGATAAAAGATAAAATACGAGAAGAGGCGTCATGTCGTTTCTTTTGTGAAGTTATCGGAAAAGAATCTGATTTCGACGCCTACCCAAGGCGGTCTAACGAGGTCGGTTAGTTTGGCAACCTCGTCTATTCCAGACGAAGTTAAGTTATTCGAGACGTAAGTTTATACAGGGTGGTTCAAGAGGAAATGCCAATACTCAGGACAATTAATTTTTATACAAAATTTTTATGATATCTTATTAAAAAAAACAGGCAGTTTAAATTACTAATTAGCGGTATAAAGAAAGTTGTTTACATTAAATAATAGTTTTCTTCTAAAACTGTATTTATTATTCTACTACGTAAAGGAAAAGTTTTCTGATTAAGCTTAAGAAGCATATTTTCACTCCAATTTCTTTAAGTTTTAAAGTTTTAATCTCTAAAGCAGCAAAGCACAAAATCGATATTAATAGAAAATTAGCCAGAGAAAATTTTAATGTTTCCTGAAAAACTTAAACTCTCTTGACAATAATTAATTATGATTAAATTTTAATAAATATATTAGTTATAGTTAAATACGTCACCAATTAATATATTTTAAAAACTATTTTAAAAAAATTTAAAAAATAAGATTTGCATATTTGACCATTTAATAATTAATACCATACAGGCAAAATATATAATATTTCATATCAATTCATTCATTTATAGAAAGAAAATCTTTTTATCATTAAACTAAATTAATTAAACAATTATTCCGCTTCGGAATTATATTCTCTTGTTTCTGCTAATAAAGCAACCCAAAAATATTGTAATAGAGAATGAATACCGCATGTTTCAATAATGTCAATACAAAATGACCCTAATTTTATATGCTAATTGAACTTTAACTTTAATTAAATTTGTTTACTCTGTTGTTCATTGAATTCTATTTTAAATTAAATATATTCTGGAAATATAAATGGTTTATGAAATTAATTTTAGAGTACCTATTTATAGTAATGGGTAACTTTTTACTAAGCGTTTGTAAATCCGTTTCAGTAAATGACTGGTTTCAGTCAGTGAGTTATAGCCGGAGAGCTGGCGACATATTTAGAGAACATATTTTAGGCAAGTTAGAATAACAAAAAAAGTTTAATAACTTAGAACCCAGAATCCTTAGTCTGGTTGGGGTTGGCTACTGCGCAACCCATCACATTTGGAAAAAATAAATCCAAAAAAACATTCTTTAGGCAACTTGAAATTTGTTTATTCTTAAATTTTAGCATCTACCTAGAAATAAGTATGCTAGACTTTTTTTTCGGGTTTAGTGTAACCCGATCATTCCAAATATGTTTAATTATTGTACCTGAAACATACTTTAGGCATTCTAAAATATTTACAGCGTGTTTATTAGATGATATTAAAAATATGTGTTAATTGCCAGACGATTTAATGGGATTTAGTACTTGCCAGACGCGAATAAAGATTTTAAATGAGCGCGACAAAAAGTCTTATGAGTATCTATAAGCGCGAGAAAGATAGTTTATCGAGACCCGTCGGTAGCCGATGCGGCAGGACGTAACAGTATTTTGAGTACTTCAAATTTTCATAAAACAATTTTTTTTTTCGGTTTCATTTCAATTATTTGCAGGCTTTTAATTCAGAGATTATTTTGTTGGAATTAAGTTACAATGTACAAATATGTATTTATAAATTAAATATTGACGTGCATAGTGTAAATAGTTTAGAATAATTACTGCAAATAAATATTTTAGTAACTACTAATTTCTGCTACTAACTACTAAATCACAATGGATAAAAAATATTTAAGTTGTGTAGTTTGTAAAAAGTTACTAGTGACAAAGTTATTGTTTTTGATGAAGGCAGACTACAAATATGCAAAGAATTTTTAAAAGTGCGCCAACAACATGGTTTAAAATTTAAAGAAGTGGTTTTACCAGAAAACGTAGTCCCGACAAAGGGTACCATGTACAGTGCTAAAATAATAAGTATTCTGGAATTTTATTAAAGCACCATTGTTAATCTTTCTCTAAATAGATTCAAAAGTAAGTAAAAGGGCTTTACTTTTATGCTTAGGCGTTAAATGACTTTTTATTTTGTTAATCAGGTCGCAAAAATTATAATATTATGTCACAAAAAGTATAATAATAATCATACTTTTGTGACGTTTGAAAAAAAATATATTTTATATTATGCGAATTTTTAAATAATTATTCGTCTTTTTTTATTCTTTCAGATACCGTTTTTATTTATTTATACCAAATACTTAAATTAAAAAGTCTTCTTATTGAAAGGATTTTAATCATACATTTTTATTAAAAAATGTTTCTTTTTATTTATTCAATATTAGTTAGTTTTTTTTAAGTTTTTACGACTCCAAAATGCGGTTACGTCAGCCGCATCGGCTGCCGACGGGTTTTTGGGGCTGACGACGATCTTTCTCGCGCTTATAGATACTCATAAGACTTTCTTATCGCGCTCATTTAAAATCTTCATTTGCGTCTGGCAAGTATTAAATCCCATTGAATTCGTCTCGAAATTAACACATATTTTTTAATATCATCTAATAAACACGCTGTAAAAATTTTAGAATGCCTAAAGTATGTTTTCCAGGTGTAATAGTTAAACATATTTGGAATGATCGGGTTACACTTTTAAACCCAAAAAAAGTCTGGCATACTTATTTCTAGGTTAAATAGGTGCTAAAATTTAAGAATAAACAAATTTTCAAGTTGCCTAAAAATGTTTTTGGATTTATTTTTTTGCAAATGTTATGGTTTGCTGCAGTAGCGAAATACCCCAACCCCCAGCCAGACTTAGGATTCTGGGTTCACCAGTTAATAAACTATACATTTTTAGTTATTCTAGCTTGCCCAAAATATGTTCTCTAAATATGTCGTCAGCTCTTAGGCTATTAGTTGTCTAATGAAATGTATAGTTTTAAGTAGGAAACCCTAAATAAACATTAAAGAGCTCTATATTTAGCAAGAAACTCCTTATATTGTCTAAAAATTTGTTGTAAAATAAGTCGTCGCATCTGCTAGAAAATCACACCGATGTCAAGGAAAATCGTTAGCTTTTCACGACGGACGACCGGACGTAACTCCTTAAACTATTTAAACGAAACAATTTGACGCGATTCTCTCTGATGCCTCTCGACGAACGACACTCTTCGCTTCCTAATATAACATTCCGAAATCTGGGAATTAAATCTTAATTGACGGGAAGCGCCGGAAAACGGGAATCGCAGGAAATTTTGCTGATTCGTTTCATTTACTTCGGCCGTTCTCTATTTTTAAATAAGCTCAACTCGAAGACTAGAGCAGGTAATGCCCGGAAAGGTCTTATTTCATTACTATCTTGTTTCGTTAAGCTTCCAGAGAAAAGGATACACTATTTAGTAACAAATACAGGGTGGCGCACCTCAATCGCCTCGGTTGATTATACGAAAACGGAAAGATGTAGAAACAAAATATTTTATGGGTATATGTGGGGAGGCAATGTGCACAATTGAAAATTATTTTCAAATATACAGGGTGTCTCAGAACTAAGATCTATACCAAAGTTATATTTTTTTTATGGAACACCCGGTATTTTATTTCATTTTTGGATCCTTGGGCCCAAAAAAAGGCATTTATTATAAGGGTTAAACATGTTTTAAATCTTTGGTTTTTGAGATATTTAAAGATATTTAAATATGCATGCTACAAAAGAATTGATTATTAACACCCTGTACATTACTTTTTAGAATTAATTCTTGTTCTGGTTAATGGTAAAGAAATAAACTTTACTGAAAAATGGTATTGCTTTCTTAAATTTATACAGGGGTACCAAAAATTGGTGATCTATTTTAAGGATTTATTTTACATAAAAACTTTGTTATTTCAAATGTAACACCCTGTATTTTTTTAAATAAATCGAAGCATAACATTTTTCTGTAAAGTTTATTTCTTTACCTTTAAACTCAGCACTAGAATTAATTTGAAAAGTAATGTACAGGGTGTTAATAATCAATTTTTGTAGCATGCATATTTAAAATATCTTTAAATATCTCATAAACTTGTGAGACAGGAAATTGTAGAGAGAAACAAGCCCTATAATATAGGATACAACATTTTAATGAACAGTGCTTTCCATAAAATCAATAAAATGAAAAATATACGAAATAATATACATGTACTGATTTCTTTCGAAAATAGACAACTATGAAACTATGATCCCTTCCCCGACACAAACGGTATATTGTGAGACAGAAAATTGTAGAGAGAAACAAGCCCTATAACATAGAATACAACATTTTAATGAACAGTTCTTTCCATAAAATCAATGAAATGAAAAATATACGAAATAATATACATGTACTGATTTCTTTCGAAAATAGACCATTATGAAACTATGATCCCTTCCCCGACACAAACGGTACATTGTGAAACAGGAAATTGTAGAGAGAAACAAGCCCTATAACATAGAATACAACATTTTAATCCATAAAATCAATAAAATGAAAAATATACGAAATAATATACATGTACTGATTTCTTTCGAAAATAGACAACTATGAAACTATTATCCCTTCCCCGACACAAACGGTACATTGTGAAACAGGAAATTGTAGAGAGAAACAAACCCTATAACATAGAATGCAACATTTCAATGAACAGTTCTTTCCATAAAATCAATGAAATGAAAAATATACGAAATAATATACATGTACTGATTTCTTTCGAAAATAGACAACTATGAAACTATGATCCCTTCCCGGACACAAACGGTACATTGTGAAGCAGGAAATTGTAGAGAGAAACAAACCCTATAACATAGGATACAACATTTTAATGAACAGTGCTTTCCATAAAATCAATAAAATAAAAAATATACGAAATAATATATATGTACTGATTTCTTTCGAAAATCCACAACTATAAAACTATGAACCCTAAGAAAAAAGAAATGAATTAATAAGATAAAATTTGGTATAAAATAAAATTGTTACAAAAAAGTTAATAATACAAATTAAAACAGAATATCCAAACCAATCCAAGTAGATTTTTTTCCACAGTTACAATACCTTCCAGCAAAAATTTAATTCAAATTTAGTACTTTTTTGAATATTCACACTAACCCTCCCAGACTCAATCTCTAGATGCGCCACTGTTCAGAAACACCAATATTTTATTGA